TCCTTTTATTCACCGTTGACTTGGCCAGGACAATTGCCGCGAAAGGGGCACAGCTACAGGATACAAAAGTCGCGATCTTACTACGTTTCAAATTAAAACCAAATGGAGTTTAATGCGCAACAAGAGAGAAGAGAAGATAACAAAAAGATACAGATACTCCGCGTCTTCCATATGCCAGGAACCAGCGGTAAATGCTCGTACATCCTTTTGCTTTCTGATTTATTTCCCTCTTGCCGTTTGCCCCTTTAATGAATCCTAATTCGGAGCATCATAAATTTTAAATTAACCCCAATTTCCAGGTATCCACAAGGGGTTGCTCTCAATGCAAATATTTACGCCATTCTCCGAGTGAGGAAAATGAAAATGAAAAGCAAAAGCCAGGCCTTACTCGCTTTCAATTAGCCCTGTGGCTGTTGGCACTCGAAAGGGAGAGTGAGAGAGAAAAGCCAAAGCGAAAGCCCAAAGAAAGCAATTTTAACTGGCTTTTAAGATATACATTACACAGCCATAGAGATGTGGGGAAAGCTCACTGGAGGAATTGTACAAGTGGTTCGTGCTCACTTAAAGCAAATTGCTGGCACTCAAAGGATAACAATGAGCAGAAATCCAAGTAATTACTCTACTAAATGGTCGGTTGATTCCCCGACTTTTATTATATTACAAGAAAGAGAAATCAGAGACATAAACTTTGAATATCTGACTCTTAAGAGAGCACAAACGATACGTCCTTTCTGGGTATTTTCTACATCCAGCTGAGCAGCCACCCATCGAGAGAGCCGCGGGCATACACTCTCAAAAGAGTGTCTCCCATTGAAAGCGAGTTGAAACGCTAGAATGGAGACGGGAGACTGTGGTCAAACACACACAAATCGGGGCTAATCAAAGTGGGCCAGCAAGCAGACGAGGGAATTTAATGACTTTTAGAAAATTGCATCGTAAATGTCAACAAATGGATGCGAAACTTGTTGGCTGGTACGAAAACTGGGACTGCAACTGAAGCTGAATTGCGGCAAAAAAGTCAGGCAGTCAGTCTGTCTGTCCGGCAGCCATCAGAGCTGCCGCAAGGACACAATGCACAATGCAAAAGACTGTCCGGTAGGTCGTAAAACTTCCTCTTAGACAATACCACAAGCAGCAGGACACCAGCAGCAACTCACAGATGGGCACTGAGCACGTACTCTGGAGCAAAAAGCAAAAGAATCGAAAGAACAAACGAACGGCTGTGTTTTATTTTTGCGTTATGACAAACTCAAGAACCAGCCAGCAAGCCAGCAAGGTGTGTCCCAAGGGGACACAGCACAGAACAGAACAGAACAGATCAGAGAGTACGAGCACAATATGGCTCATAAATTGCAAATGAAATGAGCCAAAACGAATTTCAATTTCTTCTTTTAGAAAACTGAATGGGGAATGAAAACTAACGAAGAAAAATCCAGAGACAGAGACAGAGTGTGATCAGATCAGAGATTTTCTTTCTCTTTAGTGCTCTAAATTTTGCACTAATTAACAACAAATGATGACATTAGCCACAAGAACGTCCAAAAAAAAAGGAAACCAACTGAAAAAAAAACTATAGGAAAAACCATCTGCCACTCGCAAATCCTAAGGATCGAAAGTGTTGGGCCGTTACAATGAACGGGACGGACCACGAGACCACCCGTTGACCTACTGCCAACCGAGGCTCGTGCTTCGGTTCGAGACTCGAGGTCGGGTATTGAGATGTCCTGCTGGCTGGCAAATCCGATTATGGAATTTGCTTCTTTCCCTCTCTGTCCACAAAATATCAACCTTAATTTATGGCCAAAAACGATTAGAGTGCTTATGGAATTTCATTATATACGAGCACTCACTCACGATGAATCGGAAATCTAATCGAGCTTACCTACAAAGAGAAGGAAAAGAAATTTAGTTGATTACGGTGGAAATATTATTTACTTATATTATTTCAAATTAAAATGTTAAGTTGGTTTTTGTATGCTCAACAATTTCTGCACCGATTGAGCTTCAAATATTTCAAATATAACTGAGCAAGAGCTGGAATCTTTACAAGAGATACAAATAAAACGAGGAGAAACATTGTGAGTCTCGTGCAAACGCGTCACTACTACAATACAATGTCATCTAAATCTATATCACTTCTCACACCAAGACGCCCTTTTAGCTCAGACCCCTCCGCCAAGGGCACAGTGCTTCGAGCGAGAGAGAGAATGAGCAAGCAACAGCCGTGCTGCTTTAGGGGATAATTTGTTCAACCTGGCCATAGTAATGATCCAATTTGATCCAAATTAAAGAATCTAATAGATATGGACATTATCTACGGAACTGCATTTTTAGATTTTTCATTTCTTCAAAATTGTGGACACCACAGACTTTCATACTTTATGGGAGCGGACGGGGGCGTGGCGAAATTTTGAAACAAACTTAATTCAGTGAGATATCACACCAGTCTTCACACAAAGTTTGGTTGCTCTAGCACTTATAGTCTCTGAGAACTAGGCGTTAAGCAAGACGAACGGACAGAGAGACAGAATTCCAGACCTAAAAACCCACCGATTAGCTAGAGAGAGAGTATGTATACAATAAAATACAAACTAAAGCCAGATAACCATTTGATTTTAAGGAATTTATTTAGTTTTTTACACAGAGAACTGATTGCAATCAGCAAATCGGCTCCACTGGCAGTACACCATGGACCAGGCCCATAATGATGGCGGTTATCTCGTACCAGGCCACATTCTCAAGCACCGCATTCAGTGGCGGCACAATGAGTCCCTCCATGAATTGGGAGACCTCTGCGGGATTGTCGTTTACCAGCAGCTCCAGGTAGTCCTTGACAAGATCGTTGATGAACTTTGTGTAGAGGCGACTGTTCATGAAGCCCGTCGTCTGGGACCGGGCCTCGCCCAGCTGCCAGTCCACCTTCCAGCTCTTCACGTACACACCGCTGCTGGCTGTCGTCGGTCGGACAATGAAGCTGCCATTTGCCCGGAAGTCGATAAGCTCTAGACTGAAGACACCATCGCCCCACAGGGCAAAGTCTGAACCGAAGAGCCGTGCCAGAATATCGAGCATGTACTTGGAGCTGCTCACAGAAACCCTCGGGAAGTTGATGTCAAACTTGATGGTGTGAAAAATGTTGTTCCACTCGAGCTTCGAGAACTCGTAGCCATCGAGACCCTCCAGAGTGAGTTCCGTGAAGTTTCCCCGGCATCTGCACGGTAAAAGGATAACCCTATAAATGTTTTGATGATTCACAGTGTCGATTTTTACCCAAAGCTTTCCGTGGCAAGGTCCAGCGCCTGGTAGGCTACCTTTGCGGGTGCCAGCACCGGCACACCCCGTGCGGGATAGCCGCAACGCATTTGCAGGCGCAGGAACTCTGTCAGCTCACGGAGCTGATCATCGAAGAGCTTCGAGGAGCCCAAGGAGCAGCAGAGCAGGCCCACAAATATCACACACAAAGTTTTCATGATGAAAGCCAATACTGAACTACCGAATCAGCCAGGAGACAGACCCGACCCAAAGCTACAATCAGCAATAACGCTTAGCCACTTAAGTAGCGCTGGAGCAACGATAAGATAGGATTAGCGGCAGGTGTTCTAAAGATAGGAAAGCTCAAGTCCAAGCGATTTTAGACACCCTTTCGCCAAGATCTGCCAAATTCGAGTCGTCATGCACACGACATGTATTTTGTTTTGTAATTGGGATCATCTCGTGTTTGTGTGTTGTGGATCATCTCCATTCCCTTTTGAACTTTTCGCTTGTGCGTCTGAGTAGGAGAATACGAATGGGAGCTCAGATATTTCAGTATCTCGGGGTTTTTATTAAAAGTGCTAGAATGTTGAGCTTAGGCCCAGGGATCGGCTTGTGGTTCACAGTCGACAACAATTGGATCGTCCTCCTGCTCGCCATCGCTGCTGGAGATGATCAGATCGACAATGGTCCAGAAGTCCTTGCCCTTGAGCATCTTGTTCACGCGTGGCACGATGGTGTCCTCGATGGTGTCGGAGATGCCCTGCTGGTTGTTGTTGATGAGCTTCACCACCACATTCTCCAGCTGACTGTTAATGGCGCGGTTGAGGCTGCCGTGGCCCATAAAGCCGCTGATGTCCGACTTCACAGACTCCAACGAGATGGTGGTCTTCAGCGAGGTGATCTTAGCGGAGCCCCAGAGCATGGGCAGCTTGTACTTCAGGGTGCCGGCAATGCGGAGGTTGACCAGATCGAAGAGCAGGTCACCGGTGCCCTCGTACTCGACGGACAGACCCAGCTGGCGCAGGGCATCGATCAGAGTGTCAGTGCTGTACTTCTCGGCGGTGGTGTCGATGTTCTTAAACAGGAAGTCGAAGGTGACCTTGCTTTTGATGATGTTCAGCTTGAACTTGCTGATCGTGAAGTCATTCAGGCCGGCGATCTTAAGGTGGAACACGTTGTTGAGGGTCTCGAAGATGCCACGCTTGAAGTCCAGATCGAACTCGTTGACGCGGAGTGGGGCCAGCACAGGAATGCCGAGCGATGGCCATCCACATTCCATCTGCTTCTGCAGCTTGCGGATGTAGCGGCGTGCTTGCCACGACACAATGAATTGCGGGGCAACTGCATGGATTGAGATTTATACGAATATTAAGCTAACTGGGATGGGGGTTCGGTCTAGGTGGAGTCTTACCTTCCACACCCTCCTCGGGCTCGGAGAAAAGATCAATGTCGCCATTGTGGTCTGCCAACTCGAGCAGACGCTGCTCGACCCGATTGGGCAGTGTGCCGGCGGCACAGACTGCCACCAGGCAGGCCAAGACTACCAGAAAACGCATATTGATTGTGGCTGTGGCTGTTAGTAACTTCTAACTGAAGCGCCTAACCAGCGGCGAGGGCCTTTTATACCTGACTCAATCAAATAATCGAAATCCGGAGCGATAAGAGGATAATGGGGAGGCACATTGGATGGCCGGGCAGATAATGGGCCAGAGAAATTCGCTAATTAAAACGTAGATCGTGGTCAGTAATTTGAATTGCTTTTTATTTGCTGATGTTTAATTCCTCGACTCTACGGCCAGCCAGGGTGCCGGAGTGGGGTTGCAGGTGCCGGTCACCAAGGAGATTTTCGAGAGTAGATACCAGATTTTGTGACCCTTGAGCTTCTGGTTGATCATAGGCACAAATATCTCCTCGATCTGCTTGCTAATGGCTGCCTGCTGGCCATTGATAAACGCGGGCACCTCGTATTCGATCATGTCATTGATGAACTCGTTGATCCTGCCGTTGCCCATGACGCCGCCAATGTTGGAGGACACACCGCCCAGTCCGATGGCGCACTGGAACTTGTAGATCTTAATGGAACCGAACATGAAGGGCATCTTGTACTTGAACTGTCCCTGGATGGACAGATTCTCCAGCGCAAAGGACATGGGGCCGCTGCTCTCGTAGCGCACGCTCAAACCCAGCTGCTTGAGCATGTCCACGAAGGTATCGGTGTCCAGGAAGTGGGCGCTGGCCTTCAGCTGCTTGAATTTGATGTGGAATTGCACCTTCTTGTTGAAGGTGTAGCTGATCTTTAGCTTCTTGATCTCCATGTTCTCCAAGCCATCGAAACGGAAGCGCAGAAACTGCAGCATCGATCTAGGGTTCAAAATGGTTTTAGGTTCCGGTAACCGTTGTCCAACCGCACACTTACTCCACAAAGGACTCGGCCAGATGAATCTTCAGATCGGCATTGGTGTAGGGTGCCAGTGGGGGGATACCGTACTCGGGCCAGCCACAGGGCATCTGCTCGAGCAGCGCATTGAGGACCTTCTTGGCCGATCCGTTCAGTATCAGTCCCTGGGTATCGGGCTTTGCAGCTGTGCCAAGATATGAGTCACAACAGTGAGAGAAATTTTCTATGTCTCTTCAGATTCTAGAGGAGGACACTTACGATTGCGTTCGACCAGCTGGTCCCATTTCTCCTCGCTCAAGAGCTCCACATCGTAGGCCGCAACGCAGGCCAAAAGGGCCACAAAAATATAGGCGAAAACTTTCATGTTAATGCCAGCTGTTGAATGACACCTGCCTGGGTCTGCCTTTTATACCCATGCAAGCCTAGTGGCGGTGTCTGTGGGCGGGTCAATCGGGGACAGGGGAGCGGATAAACTACTTGACTTAGACAGCTAAACACTAATCACAGCACCTGATTAGTCGAGTATTACCGGATCAGATCGTATTTCAAGATACGCTCCCGATTTAGAGCCCCACAAGTGGCTTGTTTTGTGGCCCAATCACCCCAATTGGCCAATCGAGTGTCAATATCGCTTCCAATTGGGGAATATATATGGGCCTATCATTGCGACATAGGCAAATAGCTTTGGCTACCGAAAACTGCGTCAGACGATGACAACCACCTCCATGCAGGTGTCCATGGATTACCGACCCGATCTAATCAGTCCTCACACCCAGCTGGAAGCTCGATTGGGGGTACGTACATTCTGTGTACACACAAAAGGTATATCGGGTCTTTACGACTTTACCGCTCTCTGGGGGCCTACACAAAGTTTATGCATGTAGGGCTGAGTTAGTACAAAGAACAAAGAGATTTTAGTTGCAGGTTTTGGCATGATCTTTACCATTTCCCTGCAGACCATTCGACTGTCAGACACCTTCTGTCTGCTCACGCTCATGACGTTGTATTAATAATCCTCTTTTTAAGTCCTTTAAATAAACTTAATCAAGCCCAATCAGGGCCATAAATCACACTCGAATATTAATCAAACTAACAAACAATTCGCAGACTTTAGAGCCAGAGAAGTAAATGGTTTATATTAATCCAGGCCCCGGGCAGTTCTTGTGTTCGATTCCGTAAACAAAAACTTTCAGGTTGATCGATATCCGAATCGACATTCTTTCCATTCCATTCCATCATTGAACCACTGGGAACGGTTCCACGATTCCACGTTCACATGTGACTGGCAAATAGACAGGAATTTTTCTAAGAATTTTCCGATGGATAATACGATGAAAGAAATGTTAGTTTTTAGTATTTATTTCCAAGCACTGACAAAGAGGGAACCTCGGGAAGGAACATGTAGGACCACACAATAGATTTCTTTCTTTTAATATTATCTCCAGACAGGTTTGTCTAGTAATAGAGACAGCTGTTCGAACTTTAGCGAGACTGAAAATAAATCAACAATAAAAACAATATTCTTAGTTGAAGAGATTTCTTCCGGACTGAATGGGATTCCTTCACCTGCTGGCCTATATTATACGCTAATGTAATCAAATGTAAAATGTTTAACCGAAGAGCAACCCAAAGAAAGGGATATCCCAACCATGCTGAGCGACCTTTGAGCCCTCACTCTCTCTCTCTCTCTCTCTTGAAATAAAGGAAAAGTTTCATTAGAGAGTTTTATCCCATCCGAAGATCTGATCATTATTTTGGTCAAGCTAAGTGGCCTGATAAATATAAATAATCATCGAAATTAAAGAATTGGCCAATGGATCGGGGGAGCCATAGCGATGCCTTTGAGACCAAAACCACAGAAGCAGAACGCAGAGCCAGATAAGACAGCAGAAAAGGCATCGATTGAATGTCGCTAATCAAATCGTACTCAAGAGACCAGCAGGCAGGGGCCAGGGCCTTATCGCCCACCACCTGGGCGGTTGGTCTATAAAAAGCAACGGGCCCGTACGGACCATTGAGTAGTATAAATACAGTTCGTACTGCGATCAGTTTGTAGGACTCAAAAGTCAGCAGCAATAATGAAAGTCTTCGTAGCTCTCTTGGCATTCGTTGCCTACGCCAGCGCGGCGTCCGTGGGCGAGCCCATCGGTGAGTGAAGAAGAGTCTTTTTATTTCTAATCATTCCTAATTTGCGTTTTATCAGCTTCCCAGTCGATCTCCAGCACCATTGAGGATCTGATCTATGGTATTCAGGAGCAGATGCCTTGCGGCTTTGCCGGCTTGGGCATTCCCCCACTGGCTCCACTCCGTATCGATCACCAGAACATTGACATTGACACGAGCGCATTGAAGGTCAAGGGCAGCATCGATCACTTCCGCCTCAATGGCATGAACGACTTCGATATCGATGAGATGAAGGTCAATGCCCTCACCAGCAAGGTCGCCTACAAGTTCTCCTTCCGCAACGTCAATGTGGACACCAGCTACGATCTGGCGGTGATGTTGAAGAAATTCGGCTTCACCATCAATCTGATCGGCGCCGGTCACGCCAAGATCGCCATCAAGGACATGGTCATCTGGGGCAGCCTCAAATACTCCCTGGGCGTTGTCTCCGGCAAGTTGAAGCTCAAGACCCTGGAGGTGCGCACCCATCTGGGTGAGGTTGACTCCGATATCGAAGGCATGTTGGGTCATGGCTTGATCAATGAGAAGATGAACGTCTACCTCGCCGAAGCCGTCGAGATGGCTATCAACGAGAACGAGAATCTGATCACCGACACCATCGAGTCGATTGCCCTGCCCGCTGTCAACAATATCCTTGACGATGTGAGCATTGCCGAAGTCATCGCAGGTGCCGGTGGTGATGGTGGGGCTGGTGAGAAGGAGGTCTGCATTCCCCCAGAGTTCGAATGGTGAATAAATCCATGGCCTTATTAAAATTGAAGTAATACTGATTAACGCTGGTTTTTAATCTCCCTGGTTGGCTTCTCTCCTGTCTTCGCTTGGGTTAGATTTGCAAACACTAATCAGTGGCTAATCGAAAGCTCTTCTTATCTCCGGGGGGGGTGGCTACAAAACACTTTGCCAATTATTTGCTGATTTACGAAGGCTAACACATTATACAGATAGTTTATCTGACAGTTCTTGTACCTATATAAGAGCCAGGGACACCGCTGAGCTTTGGCTAGTGTTGTTTTACTCACTGAAGCAGTAGAATCGTGTCGTTTAAAGATGAAATCCTTTGTTTTGATTGCCGTACTTCTGGCTTTGGGCCACTGCCAGGCAGCTGAAGTGGCCGAACCAGTGGCAGGTAAGAGCACAAACTATGACTAGATGTGGCAAGACACTAACAAAAACTTCCTTTAGTTGAGGGTCGCTCCATCAGCAGCACCATTGTGGATCTATTGGAGGTGGTGAGAGTACTTATGGAGACGGGCTATGGACCCATGCCCAAGGTGGCTCCACTCGAGATGAAACATCGGCCCTTTAAGTTCAGCACCGGAGAGTTCAGCGCCAGCGGAGAGATCAATGACTTTGTGATGGAGGGCCTCAATGGCTTCGAGGTGATCATCATGGAAGTGGACCTGATCCGTAGTCGCGTGGACTTTGAGCTGAACTTCGGCAGCATCAACATCACCACTCAGTACGAGGTCGATGTGGGCAGTGGTTATCGTATGAAGCGCTCCGGTGGCGCCTACATGGCCCTCGAGGACTTCAACCTGAAGGGACGTATCAGCTACTCACTGGGCGTCATCTCGAAGCAAATGAAGATCAAGAGCTTCCTCGTCAATCCCACGGTGGGCAATGTGGCCTCGGAGATCGAGAACCTCTCCAAGTACCGCATCTTCAACCGCAAGCTGAACGAGGTCGTCGAGGAGTTCATCACGCTGACGATCAACGACAACACCGACTTTGTGTCCAATTATCTCAACGAACTGGTGACACCCCTCTGCAACGACCTCATTGGAGATCGTTCCTTGAGCGACATCATTGGCATTATTACCGGCGCAAAAAACTAATCCACGAATAAGACATAATAATAAAACCGATCCAAATTCCTCTTTTTAAATATAGTCCCATAATCGCCAGCCATAAACCCATTGTGCCCACCAGCGGCTGCAAAAACAGAGAACACCAACAAATAATTTGGTTAATCTAATCGTTCAGATTAGGCTCATAATCGCATTTCCTTTGGCAAAGTTTGATTATTTCAGCCATAATCTTCAGAGTAGGGCATGAGGGTGGAGCAGTCTCTCCCAGCAGCACGTGCCACAGTGTTCAGGGGCAGGGGCAGTGGATCCACATGTTTTGAACTGGAGCCATCTATATGTACATATGTTCAGTTTAAGATTAAAACGACCATGGATTGGCAATTGCATATGATTTAACCATTCGCGCGATTTCGTTATGATATTTAGCGAATATTTTTGGTTCGCCCATCGATCTGGGGTATTAAATCCATCACAAAAATCCATGCCACACCCACATCTGTTACTATAGAACGGGATCGATATTGCAGTTTTCCATTTTCCTGCTTGAAGCCTTCGATGTGCATCAAGGAAAAATTGTATAGGTAGGCGGCTATTTCTGTCTTAATTAAACAACTAAATATTGAAGATTGTTTTTATTATATTATTTATTAGAATATTCTGCTCAAAAATGGGACAAAAATCGCATTCGTTTTGGCTCTCAGAAGAAAAAAAAGCTTAAACAGACATTTTTCTAGTCAAAAAACGTTGACTAATATAGTTGGGAACAAAAAGATCTTATTAGATGTGAGGAAATGTTTGAAAGGCAAATAACCTTTTGATTCAATGTTTTGAAGGCTCAACAGCATTATTGGGTGGTGCGACGTTCGAGAGCTCGAATTGAGGTATTTAAGAACAGTCTTGGCTTAAAAACCCACATAAAATGTGGTACAAAAAATGTAGGGGAATAGTAGAAAATCGTAGAAAATCAGAGTCATTTTTATTTCGAAAAATATCGAAATTTATAAGCAACTTTAACTTAAGCCAGAAACTAAAATAGTGGCCCTCGGTACTGTTGCCGACTTCTACATGAATTTGACATGAATTCTACATTCAGTTTCTTATAAATGCCCAAAAGCATGCTACAAATAAGCAAACAACGAAAAAACGTTCAATTATATGAACGTCCCAAAACTGTGCTGCAAAATAATTGTAAGAGAATCCTCCCCCTGAAAATTTTGATTTTCTCTGTACGGGAATTCTAACAAGAATACGAAATTGATAGCTACGATAGCTTCAACAGTTCGATATACTTAGATCTTCTTGATGACTGTAAGTATGACTGTATGTACATTTTATGTACAAAAGTAAACATAATATTACTCTCACTCTCTAGAAACGTGCCCAAATGAACATATAAATATATGTGCGACGCAATAATAAATACAGAAATCTGAAAATTCATTGAAAATAATTATCACCATCTACAGAGCCTTCGCTCGGAGAGAACTAAAATTATATTCTAAAGCTGCAAAACCTTCGTGCGCTTATCAGCAGCTTCCTAGGCAAATCGAACAGCCCATCGCTTTCAATTAAATAATATGTACATCAATTTTGTACAATACTCAGTTAATAGTCGACATTCGTACACAGAGGACGCACCTGCATCTAGGCCCTTAGACTAGAGAATGTTGCTCAAATATTTTCCGCTGATTTTGCTGGCACAGGTGATTCTCTCGGAGATATCATCCGCTTATCACCGATCTATGTATCAATTGATCTTTCTGGCAGTTCGTGCTGTCGGCACCCACACTGCGCGTTCCGAGCAGCAGGTCGGACGATCCGGTGCAGAAGCAACTGGAGCAGGAGGCACGCGAGGAGACAGTCAGGCTGCTGAACGCCCTCTTCCGAGCACAAATCGCATATTTCACGGAGGTGAAGGCCAAGCTGAATCCCCAGTCGAGGCGGGCCACTGACATAGATCATTATGTGGCACGTGTGAACGCGGCCATTGCGGAGAACGATCTGGACAAGAAGGATCAAATATGGCTTGACATATTCGAAGATGTAAGTGTGGAATAGGATACTTCCGGATAAAGTTCTCCTTCGAATTTATCCTCCAATTTAGTTCAGGAAATCGCCCTTATTGATAAACAGACCAGCTGAAACGGGCCTCAGCGATGAGGAGTACAAGGATTTGCTCACGGATGGCAAACTGCAAGAGATCTCAAAGAGTTTCGTCTCCGAAGTGGCATCATATTTCTGGAAAATGGCCAAGCTCAGTGGCCGGGTCGTCGAGAACCACATCGATGGAATATCGAATGACATTATTCGCAACTGAATACAAAAATCAACAATAAACCAACGCACAATGTGTGACAATCGAGTGGAATTTGTCTCTTTTATCGCGATTATCTTTTCTCCCCAATTATCCATTTTCATTCCATTTAGGGAGCAAGCTTCGCACTTTAACCGTTTTTCGCTACCATTCATCACATTTGGCATATTTATAGGTACAGTGCGTGTTATAACAATATAACAATCCGAGATGATTCGCTTTGCTTTTACTTCTAATAAGTATATTCCATAATTAGTGGCTATCAAACAGTTCTACAGTTACGAAACGCACTATACTCGTGTGTATAATGGTAGTTTAGGAGGGAAGCGCAGGCAGAACCCTCAAACGGAATGATATATTTCACATATGTACAAATGTATGTAAATATGTACATATAATGTACAAAGCTGTCACGATTTCGTGATTCACTCGCCAGTCGAGCCCGAGCAGAGCACCAAATTCGGGCACATTATGAGACTTAAATTGCCTCGCCGCAAAATTCTTTCTCGAATTTGCATTTCTTTTGTTCAGAGCTTTTTATTGAAAATCGCACACAAACTTGTTGTGCAATTCGGAATGACGAAAATAGCAAATGCCAGCAAAGTGCAAAGATACTATTTTTAATGCAATTTGCGTTAAAAATGAAAGAGAGTCACGAAGGGGAAGGGCGGCAACTGCAGCCGTTGATAATTGTGGCCCCAAAATCCCAAAGGCAACTCCCGTTGCACGCTACGCTATCGAGCGCATCGACGCACAACAACAATTGTTCCACTTCCGAAAGGCACAGACTGAATGGCAGTGGCGGCGGAGCATAATTCTTTTGACAATCCGCATGTCAATATTATTGTACAATTAAGAATAAATAAACAGCAGTTCCGAGGGCGAGATAAGAGGGGCCTGCCTGCCCGACACTCGACGCAGATACGAATCAGCGGAACCGCTCGCGACAATCGGTGTGGGGGCGGTGGCTGCCGCATTCTTTTTTAATTATTTTCCAATAAGTTCTAAGATAACAGCAGCCATATAAAAAATGTGTAATAATTGAATAGGAAAATAAGAACTTGAAACTTTTGAAGAGCTTAAAAACTAAAAGTTATTTTCGGCACAAGATAACGAATAATTAGATTGATAAGAAATAACTGTGATTGATACACAACAATTCGATGCAATTAATTAGCAAATATTAGTGGAATGCCAACTTCATACCCAATAACCCAATTTATCTATCGTTGGTATGAAATTCTGGTAGTGAAATTCTCATCACATTTATGTGAAAATAAATTCCCAGACTTTTATCAAAGACTTACAGAAGTATAATTATTCCTACATTAAGGTAAACTTTAAATCAGTATCATTCCATAATGCGCTTTTGAACAGTTAATATACCCAACGTGGGAAAAGTGTACACTCTTATTTTAATCCCAGCAAATAGCCAAATTGCGATCACTTTAAGGGGAAACCCGGGGGGGCCGAGGGCCATTTTAGATAAGAGAGGAAATTTGTTTTTTTAAACACCGCCGCAGCGTTTTCGTTGATTCTTTTGTTGAATCTGTATCTGCGACTATTAGTCTAACCCGACAATTGGTTTTCTTTATTCACAAGAAAAATAAACACAAATAAAAACAAATAAATATACGAGTAAGAGTAGGTACATGTTTGCTAGGAAATACGAAACTAATTTCCGTAGAACTATAAGCATTTTTCTGGTAACGATGCGATTGACATGCTAATATCTATTGGGAGCTTAGAGCCTGGTGTTTTTGTTGTTTATTTATGGACTGATATGCAAATCTGTGTGGCACATGGAGCCCAATGGACTATAGAAATATTTGCCCAGCCATTGATTCTATCGAACAAACGACGGAACGAAAGGCCGAATTTCTTCATCGACTTTTGTTCAGCTTCCACTTAAGTAATTTCGACCTTCTCCCGTTATTGTTGGAGACTATAAATAAACAAGCATTTCGAGCGGAAAATGCCAATAAATACATGGTAGGTTTTTGCTTTCAAGCAACAAAACAAAGTTGCAACGCTAAACGATATTAAATTCGACTATAAGATGACATAGAAATATAGTCATGTTAATTTTATACTCCACTGCCACACGGACAAAGCATACCCTTCTGCTGTTCGAGTTTACAGGGTATTAGTGTAGCCAACATTCATCATTCTGTCCCATTCCCGATTCCCACAACGACAAACGAATTAGAATCGGTAAAGGAATCGACAATAAGAAAGTCGCTTGCAAAACTGTCTATTGGACTGTCTCCTCTCGTGTTACTTACATACATTCATGTACATACATATGTATGTGTTTATGTTATGTGTGTACATTTGTATCTGGATTGCACGATAAGAGCAGGCAACAACAACAACAAGGGCAGGAGGCGGGCCTCTGACGATTTTGTTTACATTTTCGGGAAGCCGCTTCAGATTTTCTAATAAACCATTTAAGAACCGGTTTTTTTGTGTGTTTCGGTTTTTGGTTTTTGTGAGCGAACTCGGATTCGGCTCTTGGATGCTGTTGCTGCCTCGCGAGGAGGAAGAAAAAGAGGAAGAGCATCAAATTTCATGCCCCGCACATTGAAACTGAAGCTGTGACTATGGCAGGGGCACGAAACACGACGCACACACACACACACACACACACAGTAACATTGGAAATTGGGCAGAAAAGCTTGTTTTAAACAAAACTCGGATATATTTCTTTCTTTTTGGAAACGACAACGACAACACTTTCAATGGCCTCTGTTGTCCGTCAGTCCGTCCGTCCGTCTGCTGTTCCCGCTTCAATGGACATTTAGGCAACAATCAGAAGGGGGTTGCTACATAGATTTTTGGTCAGAGATTACCATAAAGCACTCCAAACAAAGGCAACCACAAGTCCAGTCCATAACAAATAACAAAACACAATGGAGGCAGCCCAAAGAGGTGTGGAACTTGTTTAATCAAGAGATTTCCATCTGCTCTAAAGGATTCAAAGGGTCTTGACCCATGCCCGCGATGCGAAATTTTAGTAAAATTCAATGCAATGATGGGTTGGGACTTGGACTTAGACTCACCTTCAATGCAGACGACATGGTCCCGAATGGATTGCGCTATTTGGGCATCGGATAGGGGCAGCAAATCGATCAGATCGTATATGGCATAGATCGATGGGTGTACGCTCTCGAAGCGCTGAATCTCCTGGCGTATGGCTAAAGAGTTGCTTATTAGCGGTTGCGGGGGCTGGGGGGCCACTAGAATTGAGGATGACGATGAGGATGAGGCCGATCGATCCCCCAGCAGCTGGGTGGCTGTGGGCGTCTGGTTATGATGACGCTGCTGCTGCTGGGGCTGGGGCTGTGTCAGATGATGGTTCTGGACCTGAAGCTGATGCGGATGCGACAACGAGTGGGGATGGTAGTTACTCATTGCGGAGGCGTCAAAATGGAGAATTAGCCAACGTTTTTAATTAACTTAAATTGCGTCCGATCGAGCTGGGTAAATGTAAACTAAACACATATACACACGCACACACACTCGGACGAACAGGCACACGGCATACGACACTCAAGCGATGGCACAATTTTCCTGAACCGCGACGCGCAACAACATTTTCCAAAAAGAGACAATCAAACGACGGCACGACAACAATTATGGGGTAGCTTCACAGCACGCACTGTCACTTGGGTTGGTAGTCAGACGAATATCTGTGGGATAATTGACCCGCGAAGTCAACTCAATTCAATAGATCGATTTTTACACCTGCACAAACAATCAAAACAGAGCGAAAATTACGGTAGTTCACGATGTCGCGGGCGGGGGCGGGGGGTCAGTGTGAACGCGCAATTATCTATAAAATATACCGACAGACCCTCGAAAATATTTCAAACATATCTTCCCATTTTCAAAATATACCGCAAATATATCGTAATCTTAAATTATATTCCTCGATTTTTATGTTCTATTTGATATTACTAGCTTGCAAAGTCTATTAACACTGAAACAATAACTTAATCCGATTGAAGTATCAATTTGGCTTATTATGATTTCTAATTTTTATTGGATTATCAACCTTAAGACCTTATATTTCACAATTTTGTATTTGTGTTCTAACTAGCTGGTAATATTAAATGGAAAATCAAAACCGAGGAAAATTGTGTTATGGATCGGTATATTTACGGTATATTTGTAAAATGATACTGTATATTTTGGTATATTTTATCGATAAATCCCAGTCACACTGGTCGCATGTCGTAATTTTATTATTAACTAATAGTGGAATAAACTTTAGTTAAAAAACAAAGTACAACCATGGCGCAAAGCAGACTTGAGAAGATCGGGACTATCTTTACCAGAGTTCAGGGTCTGCTGCGTGGGGGTGCCATGAAAACAGAGGACAAGCCCATCTGGTATGACGTCTATGCAGCTTTTCCACCCAAGGCGGAGCCCCGATTCGACAGGCCAGCTCCGGAGATGCCGGTGCGCAGCATATTCTATGCTGAGGATGTTGTAAGAGCGTATGTTCAAGACTGCTGCCCATTCATGGCTCTGACGGGAATTAATTTGTCGACTTTTTCCATTCACAGGAAACTGCACAAGCAGAACAGGCCCAATGAAACGATTTCCCTGTTTGATAATAAAAGGAGCACACAGTCGCAGCAGTTTTTGCAGATCTACGACAACCTAAAGTCACAGGGAGCGCTGGATGAGCAGAGAATATACGAGACGGCATTGGACTTGTTGGCGGAGCAGAGGCAGCAATCCCGTTTGGACGCCACACCGGAGGAACCTGCTGTCGCAGCCACCGAACTAGATGTAGCGACGAAAAGCCAGCTACTGAGCGATTTCATAGAGGCTGGCGGGCAGCAAGCCAAGTCCTCAGGTTCTCAGTACAAAGAAAGGAAGAAGGAAAGCCCAGTGGGCATTAACATTGACAGCTTGTTCAAGGATTAATCGAAATGTGTTTATAAACTTAAAATATTTGTTTTGTATAAATTTCAAACGGCCAAAGCATCGTTTTGCGACTCGTGACTGAGCTGCGTCTGCAGATTGGAGAGCTTGTTCTTCAGCACTTGGACGCCCATTATGACAATGTTCTCGGGCTTGAGGGCTCCCGATGACTCCACGTTGAAGAAGAACTTGTTGGGCTTGGCCTCCCAGTTGTAGGGCGCCTCGAACTGATCATCCTCCAGTTCGGTGTGCTCGCTCTTGGGCCACTCGTCCGGCTTGGGGTAGAGAGTGTGCCGCATGGAGTTGTCCGGATCGTATTCGAAGCACACGCCGGCGGTGGGGTTCCACTTGGCGTGCTCCTTGCCGAAGCCCTTCTTGGCATAGGCTCGCAGCTTCAGCTCCTGTCCCTTTCTCAGTTTTATAATTAGAATCTCATCACTGCTTTCGCCGTATTCGTTGTCCTCCTCGCCCTGATTGCGGGATGTCACCGGCAGCACTTTCGCATTGCTGGACTTCAGATCAGCGGTGGTAACGTGGCGCGTCTGCTCCTCGTTGCACTTGACGTCGAGGGTGAACTCTACGCTGCATTCGGGACAAAAGTCCAGGCAGATGCAATCTCTAGTGTACTGGAGACGCTCGACCACATCGTCGGATATCAACGGAATCAAGCCGATACGATGGGCCAGAAACTCATCCGACAGCACTGTGGAGTTGGCCTCCAGCTGCACCCAGTCGATGGCCAGCGTCGGAGTCTCGGCAATGAAAACGCGCCGCAGACTGTTGGCCACGCTGAGCTCGGTGTCTTCCAGCACAAATTTCACATTGTCGTCCGTCAGCTCTGTTATCTGTACGTTGGGTTGATTCGCATACGGCATGGTTGCCGGTTATGTTTTGTTTTTATTCAGAAAATTAAAAAATACAGCAGCGTAGGAAAAAAAGCGGCGAGGTAGTGATGGGAGTAAACCCGATAGCACAACCGGCACATATATCGAAGCAGTGCTTTACAGCTGATTTTGTGGGTACAAACTAATGGAAAATTGATCATTAGAATCGTACTGGTGGGATCTCTATTAGACCAATTTTAAGCAGGTTCTTACGGGGTATCTCATTATTGCTGCAACATTCATCATAAAGTATGATATCATTAAAAAAAAAAAGATTTCTGGCTATAATCGACTATATGAACAGATACTTTTACCCATAAAACAGCTAAACTGCCAACACTGCGGTGCACTTTGAGGATTTTGCGAGAATGTTGCGAAATATAAGATTTTATTGCAAAATTGCCGCTAGGACGGATTTAAAAGCAATCAAATTGGACTTTAAGGAGCTACGACACAAGACAAAGGTGCCACAAACGCCGGTGGACACAGACTTTCCAGACACAACCGCCAACAAGGTGGACATTGACACAAAAACGATTCAATTGCTGGAGCGCCTCTCGCTGGTGGATTTGGATAGCGAACAGGCATTGGCCACGCTCAAGAGCAGCATCCAATTTGCTGACAAGATAGCCCACATCAATACGGACAACGTACGGCCGCTGTACACGGTGCTCGAGAATCAGCAGCTTCAATTACGCAACGACGAGGTGAACGAGGGCGACTGCCGCGTGGAGCTGCTGAAAAACGCCAAGCTGACGGACGAGGACTACTACGTCTCGCCGCCGGGCAATATACCGCTGGAACAATGAGTCGTTTGGGTCGTTGCTTCAGGTCTCTGGAATCCGCTGGCTTCCTACGCGTCCTAGATGATAGCCGCGTCGAGCTCCTTGAGCACGGACATGCCTATGCCGAGCTGCTCAAGCAGCAGTGGCTAAGCCTGCGTCCGCTGGCAGCACACCTGGGCAACAGCGATTCCACTGAAGCTAGCGTTTCCTCGACCCACCTGCGGCGTTTTGCCTTTGCCAGTAGCAAAGGATTCCAGTCCAACTTCGAGCAGTTGGTTCGAGAGCATCCCCGCAAGGCAAAATGTCCCACACTCCTCAAGCATCTGTGCACCTCCTCCGCCTGCCTGCCCAATCCTTTCTTCAGCCACAAGCCACCCGTTACGCATTTAATTACCGACTTTCTGGTGGAGCCTTATCGCGCCTTGGAGCACTTTTACAACATGCAGCGCGAGAGTAAGATTTGGTGGATGAGATACTCCTCGAATCCCAGTCGCTATCGCATTGTTGCCCGCGAATTGCCGGCGGAGGTGGATGCCAAAGATTGTCAAGCAATCGACATTATGTCCTGCTACGGCGAAGAGTGCAGCGTGGCAGTGGAGCAACTCAGTTTGGTGAAGCTGCACGGCGATGATTTCCGTTTGCCCGATGCGCGGACGGGGCAAACCCTGCCGCCTGCTGTCATACGTTCGGTGATTGAGCTGGAAACAGCGACCTGTGGTAAGCATTTGGAGTGTTTCTTTAAATTTATTGTTTAAATCTCTCTCTCTCGAACAGCTCTTCTGGTGGATGGCTGTGATCACGCTCGCGAGACTCAATCCCTGCTGCTGAACCGTGTGCTGGCGCCGTATCAGTGTGGCATTGCCTGCCAGGAGGTTGATGGGGAAATGGCTGACCTTTGCCTGCACATAAAAGACGTGCTCCTGCGGGCAGGACTGCGCCTGTGCCAAGGCGATGGATATGCCCTGACCGAAGATGCTTCACAGCTCAGGGAACACATAAAAAAATCTGATAAGATGGGAGTGCCTTATACGCTGCTCTTGAGCGAGCAAACGCTACAAAACGGATTGCTGCAGCTGCGCAATCGAGACACCAGGCTGGCGGAGACCATACACATAAGCGATTTACCAAACTATTTACTGAATATATTTAAACTTTGAAAGTGAAATGCAAATCTACATGAAATCGCAAAGATATTGGCGCACATTGAAGCCCACAACCTTGCCGATGTAAAGCACAAACTCGAGGCCCACCGTGCACTGCAGCCGTGCCGAGCCATCCATTATGTTCTGCTCGCCAGAGACAAAGCTGAGTAGCTTGAGGTGCACCAATGTAGAGATCTGGGAGAGGAGGTTGCACGTGAGGCCCACTTTCTCCTCAAGAATGGCGTAGAAGATGGCCAGCAAGCGATCAATGCTGAAGGATTTGGGGCCCAAAGTCGTGGACATCTTCTCCGCAACCTGGAAAGGTTTAGAAATAGTTTATAAATTCAGCGGAAAGCGGATAGATGTGTACAAACCTTGGCTCTGGCATTGACTGTTTGCATTCGCTTGCGCTGCTTTCCATGATGCTTGACAAACAGCCGCTTGTCCTGGTTAGCGGAATTGTGGCTGGCCAGGAAGGCAGCAATAAGCAGATACTTCGCATAGTAAGGCAACTCGAGGGACTGCGCCAGCTTGCGTACGCTTTGATCCTCTATGGCTGCTGATGCTTCCTGCTCTTCCGGTGGCTTGTCTATTCGCATATATATCTGGGTGAGGGCGGATCTCAAGGGTCCAGCAATGTGACGCCACAGTCGGGAGACATCTGTAGACTCCACGGTGCCATCCAACACGGGCTCCAAGTAAATGGAGAAACATTTTCTGGCCGTCAGCTGCAGCTCGGGCACGTCACGGCAAGCCTTGTAGAAGACGCTGAGAAACAGATTTAAATAGTTGCTGTAAAAGTCCTCGGTGAGGGCCGCTTCGCAGATCGCCAGACGCTGGGCATCCTTCGAAAATTGCTTAAGAAGCTGCGCTCGCACCTGGAAAAAGTACGAGCTGAGTATGCGCTGGGTCTCTGCCTTGTTGTACTGGGCAAAATGCAGACTGATGACTTCCGTCAGACCCGTTTTGTTGTAGAACTTCTCAAAGGGAAGCTGGGACAGGAGAATGACACAGAGATTGAGGCTGGTTTGCTGCTGGAGTCGCAGCAGAACGGGCAGCACATTCGCATCCATGTCGCGCAAGCGCTCGGCATTGTCCACGGCTATCAGAAAGCTCTGGAATTTCGCTCCCTGGTCATGCCAACGTCGCAGCTGCTCCACAAATTCCAGCATATTGTCGGCCCGAAAAGTTTCTTCTGTAGCCCGACGTGGAGCCAGTGAGTCCAGCATATTCTCTAGCATTATTTTTGTCGTATAGCACTCGGTGGCATTCAGTAGGGCAATGCGAACTGCCTGCTGCCGGCAGCATTCTCGAAGGAATGCTCTGGTCAGCGCAGTTTTTCCCGTCCCACTGTGCCCGAACAGATAGATGGCCGAAGGATAGGCCTCCCGCGAGTCGCCAATTAGCTCGCCCAGTGTTCTGATGGCTGCCTCCCGGCACGGAAACTGCGGCTCCAACGCGGCACAGATAGTTTCCATTTGTTGTGATTTTTGCTTACAAACAGCTGCAGGAGATCAAAGCGCGCCAATCTGCTGCGATCCTTTTCCTGCCCTGTGACCGATAACACCGGCTTGCAATTGATAGAAATCGATGACTTATTGCACTAACAATACAGAATAGCCTGTTGGTGAGTAGTTATTTAATAATTAATAATTTAATAATTACCATAATTATATTATGCAGTAGTATAATAAATAGTGGTTGTAATTAACCCTAATATCAAAATTAAGGAATATGATTTTCATCGGTCTATGTACGGTATATTCAGAGAATGAGAAGGTTATATTTCGGTATATTTCTGAGGGTCAGGCGGTAATTTTTATCACTAAATCCACTGCTTTGCATTTTGGAAAAGGTTTTTCACGTTTGTGTTTATTTCGGCAGGAAATTTGCAGTTCTCCTTCTTTCCGAGGCTAGCTTAATCGTGTAGACGGCCCAGAGTCCGCGATTAAAACTAGTAATAGTGCCCAACACAGAAAAACAACGCCCACTTCGGTTCCGTTTCCTAACTCGGTCATCAAACTCCGGCGAATCAAAACTACGTGTGTGGTTGGAACTTGCGTGCATTTATTCCTGAACAATGGCCGAGACATTCACCTTTGGCACCTCCCTGGCCTCAATAACCTGCCACGCCTGGAACAAGGACCGGACGCGTAAGTTGGCGTCATTCGGGTGGAGCATTCCCCGAGCTTACTCATTCATGACTCATTCTACAACATTGCTTCGCCCACAGAGATTGCCTTATCGCCCAACAACCATGAGATTCATATATACAGCCGCGATGGCAACGACTGGAAATTGGCCGACGTACTAAACCAGCACGATTTGCGTGTGATGGGCATTGATTGGGCCAAGAACACCAATCGCATAGTGAGCTGTGCAGCCGACCGGAATGCCTATGTGTGGACCCAGGGCGAGGATGAAAAGTGGAAGCCCACTTTGGTGCTGCTACGCATTAACCGCGCAGCCACATGCGTCAAGTGGTCGCCGGCGGAGAACAAGTTCGCCGTTGGCTCTGGGGCTCGCCTCATTTCGGTCTGCTACTTCGAGTCGGAGAACAATTGGTGGGTGTCCAAGCACATCAAGAAACCGATTCGATCCACTGTCACCTCTCTCGACTGGCATCCGAACAACGTACTGCTGGTGGCTGGCTCCACGGACTACAAGGTGCGAGTATTCTCGGCGTTTATTAAGGATGTCGAGGAGCCGCCGTCACCCACGCCCTGGGGCAACCGCAAGCCCCTGGGCCAGCTGATGGCCGAGTTCAAGAACTCTCAGACCTCCGGTGGCGGCTGGATCAACAACGTGAGCTTCTCTAGTGACGGCAACAAGGTCTGCTGGGTGGGACACGACAGCTGTGTGAGCATTGCCGATGCCACCAACGGCAACGCCATCACACGCTGCCGCACCGGCTACCTACCCTTCCTCTCCTGCGAGTGGGTCTCGCCCACAACCGTCGTTGTGGCTGGCTATAGCTGTGTGCCCCTCCTCTACAGCCTGACGGCGGACAACAAGCTGGTGCTGAGCGGCAAGCTGGACAAGTCGCAAAAGCGCGAGTCCAGCGGCATTTCGGCCATGCGCATCTTCCAGTCGATGGACCGCAACATGCGCACAGAGAACACGGACACTGTGGTGGACTCCATCCATCAGAATGCCATCACAAGTGTGCGCATCTATGCTGGGGACAAGGCCAGCGCAAGTAAGGTGTCCAGCTCGGGCGTGGATGGGCAGCTGGTCATCTGGACTGTGGAGCAGGGCGGCGTCAACATCAATGGCGGCATGCGCAACCTCCAGATCTAGTGTGTGACGTGTTAATATGTATGTTAGAGTGTTGGCCTGGCCAGGTGCGCAGTATTTGCCAAAATGTTTTCCAAAATCAAATTTCTTATCGTTTGTACCGTGTGAGAGCCGTTTTATATAAATTAACTGAAGAGATTTTTTTCTTTTCTCGTACTTCCTCAATAGTTCCCAAAGTCTGTATATTTGTGTTTTAAAGTGTGTTTCACCCTCTATTAAACAATTGAATAAAATGTGTGTTTATTCCAAGAAATTTTTAGCGAAATAGTTTTGTACTGTACTTTTTTACCGTTATCCGATAGCGTGGTGTGAGGTTGCTGTGGATGAAAAAGGAATATCAAATACTTCAGAAAGTACTTCCATAGTTGGCCTCATTTAGTCGTATGTATTTATAAATATTTACTCCTTCTTTAAACACTTACGCGCCAAAAAATTTCTTTAGAAGTCTAGTCTAATTGGACGACTAATTAGACTATTGTCTTCAGACTTTTCTGAAGACCGGTATTTTTAGTCATCAGTATATATTTTTTCGGTACCGAAATATACAAATTTATATCAACATAGAAAACGATCGCAAGTTTGAAAATGAGAAGAAACTAAAATGCAAAATCATATATTATAAAAGTGATTGCTTAGAAGTTTAAGTTGTTACTAAAGTTTTCACGGAAACGGCCATCGTCACAATTTATGCCTGTTTTTTGTATGCTTATCGGTTGTCGATCGATGCTGATCGATAGCTTGATTTTGAGTTGTTATAGCAGCGATAGCAGCTATCGATTGATTCCAACGTATCGTACCATCGATGCCTTGTTTTGTTTTCATTTGTTGCGGCGCTTTAATTATGTTTGATCTGACTTATAATGCAACTCCACCTGATACGTTCCTATGCCAGCAAGCCCAGACGCGAACACTATGCCAGCAGCGCCATAAAAATATACCGCAAAGTGAAACCGCTGCCACAAAAAGCCGCCACAGCTGAAAGGCAGCCACAAAACGCAAGTGTGGAAGTGTCTGGGGAATACTCGGAGAACCTCGTCAAGGTGCAGATGATCTCGCAGAACTTGCACAGGCAAATATTCCCCCAAACACCACGCCACACCACGGAGGAGCAAATGGCCGCCGCCAGGCAGCACAAGGAGGATCTGCGCCGCCATGGAGTCGACATTGAGAGCAGCGCACCAGTGCCGGATGTGCAGCTAAAGTTGCCGGCCCTGCAGGGGCAGAACATCGAAGAGCACTTCCACAGCATAGCCAAGGAGCAGGTGGAACCTTTTGAGCAGCTCCTGCTGCCTCTGGTGCAGTGTCGTGAGCTGCCTGCGAGACCGAAGCGCTGGGAATTTCTTGCTGGTTGGACAGCCTACGATCCAGAAGATGGTACAGCCACACCTGTTGAGCAGCCACTGGAAAAAGGTCTTGTCTTCGATGTGGAGGTGTGCGTCTCCGCCGGGCAAGCCCCGGTACTGGCCACCGCTGTCAGCACAAGGAGATGGTACTGCTGGGTCAGCCCGAAGCTGACGAAGCACCGCCTGGCCGTGGAGAAAGTGGAACCCTGTGATGTGGGGGCAGACTTTGAGCGTCCGCACTATACACTGGATGAGCTGATACCCCTGGGAGCAGGTGAACCCAGTCTGGTGGTGGGCCACAACGTCTCCTATGACAGAGCGCGACTGAGCGAGCAATACCGGATCGAGGATTCTGGCACGCGCTTTGTGGACACGATGTCGCTGCACATGTGCGTCAGTGGGGTGACCAGCTACCAGCGTGCACTCCTCAAATCGAAGAAGGAGCCAGCACCCGAGGATCTCGGCTGGCTGGAGCAGAGCTCCCTCAACAGCCTGGTCGAGGTGCATCGTCTCTACTGCGGCGGGCAGGCGCTGTCCAAGGAGCCGCGTAATATTTTTGTAGAGGGCACACTGGATCAGGTGCGCACCAATTTCCAGTCACTCGTCAACTACTGCGCGGGAGATGTGGAGGCCACTCATCGCGTGCTGCGGGTGCTCTATCCCATGTTTGCCGAGCGATTTCCACATCCCGCCTCGCTGGCGGGCATGCTGGAAATGGGCTCCGCCTATCTGCCTGTGAACTCCAACTGGGAGCGTTACATACGCGAGGCGCAGCTGACTTACGAGGATCTCAGCATCGAGGCCAAGTACCATTTGGGTCGTCGCGCGGAAGAGGCGTGCTCCCTGCTCGACGAGGAGCAATATCGCAGCAATCTCTGGCTTTGGGACGAGGATTGGAGCGTGCAGCAGCTGAAGCTGAAACAGGCGCCCAAGCGCAAGCCTCTGCCGAGAGTGGAGCTGCCCGACCTGTCCGATCTTTCCACTGAGCAGCGGCGTCTCTATGCAAAGTTTCAGCATCTCTACGATCAGCGCTCCCTGCTGCCGGCACGACGTCCCCTGCTGCCAGGATATCCTCAATGGTACCGCAAACTGTGCCGCAAGCCACCCACGAACGACGCAGAGCTGGAGGAGGATCGTTGGACGCCAGGCGCCAGCGAGATCAGCACCGGCATGCAGATTGCTCCCAAGTTGCTCTCCCTCTGCTGGGAAGGTTATCCGCTGCACTATCAGCGGGAGCATGGCTGGGGCTTTCTCGTGCCCTTTCGCAGCGATGCAGCGCGAGCGGAACGCATTCCAATTCAGGAGCTGCTGGCACGCTGTGCTGTGCCGGAGTTTGCGCGGCAGTGCGCCTCCCAGGAGGAGAGCGATCTGGCCTACGACATGCTGCCGGGACAACTAGAGGAGCATCTGGCCAAAAGGCAGCACTACAAGAAGATCTCACAGAAGCAGCAGCGCCTGGAGACGCAGTACCAAGGCTCTGGCGTCTGGTGCAACCAGGTGCTGGACGATTGTTGCTTCTTCTTGAAGCTGCCGCACAAGAACGGTCCCTCGTTTCGCGTGGGCAGTCCACTGTCCAAGGATTTCCTCAACAAGTTCTCGGAGAATGTGCTCAGCAGCGGCGATCCCTCCTGCCAGGCTGCGGCGCGTGTCATCGACATTGCCCGCATGATGTCCTATTGGCGCAACAATCGAGATCGCATCATGGGCCAAATGGTGGTCTGGCTGGAGCAGGAGCAGCTCCCGTCAGAGCTGACTGATGGCAAGTCCTATGGCGCCATTTGTCCCCAGGTGGTGGCCTGTGGTACTCTCACACGTCGTGCCATGGAGCCCACCTGGATGACGGCATCTAATTCGCGTCCAAATCGTCTGGGGTCGGAGCTGCGTTCAATGGTGCAGGCACCGCCGGGCTATAGACTGGTGGGCGCCGATGTGGACTCCCAGGAGCTGTGGATCGCCTCTGTGCTGGGCGATGCCTACGCGTGCGGCCAGCACGGAGCCACGCCCTTGGGCTGGATGACACTGAGCGGCAGCAAGTCAAACGGCAGCGACATGCACTCCATCACAGCCAAGGCCGTGGGCATCTCGCGTGACCACGCCAAGGTGATAAATTATGCGAGGATCTATGGAGCCGGCCAACAGTTTGCCGAGACGCTGCTCCGTCAGTTCAATCCCACTTTCAGTGCATCGGAGGCCAAGGCCAAGGCCATGAAGATGTTTGCCATCACCAAGGGCAAGCGTGTGTATCGATTGCGCGAGGAGTTCCACGACGAATTGGAGGATAGAGGGTGAGTAATCCACGTCATCCAACAATCCTCCAGCCTGACACTTTGCTTCCCCACAGATACAGCAGCTATGAGGCCTCCCGTTTGGCCCTGCAGCGGAATCGTACCTTGGGCGAGGTCTTCCACCGACCCAGCTGGCAGGGTGGCACAGAGAGTGCCATGTTCAATCGGCTCGAGGAGATTGCCACGGGTTCGCAGCCAAAAACACCCTTTCTCGGCGGTCGACTCAGTCGTGCTTTGGAGTCAGATGCAGAGCAGGAGCAACGCTTTCTGCCCACGCGCATCAATTGGGTGGTGCAGAGTGGCGCCGTCGACTTCCTCCATTTGATGCTGGTCAGCATGCGCTGGCTGATGGGGACACACGTTCGCTTCTGCCTCAGCTTTCACGATGAGCTGCGCTATCTGGTGCAGGAGGATATGGCGGCCAAGGCGGCCCTGGCCATGCACATCACCAATTTGCTCACCCGCTCCTACTGTGTCTCCCGCATCGGCCTGAACGATCTGCCCATGTCGGTGGCCTTCTTCTCCTCGGTGGAGGTGGACACGGTGCTGCGCAAGGAGTGCACCATGGACTGCCAAACGCCCTCGAATCCGCATGGCCTGCGCATCGGGTATGGCATCCAACCGGGTCAGAGCTTCAGCATAAGCGAGGCGATCGAAAAGGCCGGTGGCAGTGATGTAGGTCAATGGCCATGGATCAAGCAGCGGAAATGATAACACAAACCAAGTTCCTATAATTAATTTCGCTAATGAATAGTTTACTATGCCAAGAAAGGCATACTGCCGGTGGATCCAAGTAATTTTGAAAATATACGGATATTAGCGATATTTCCGATAAAAAGAGTGTATTTTTTGTATATTTTTCACAGTCAGAAGGTATATTTTATTGATAAAACCACGGCCACACTGGTTGGCGCGTCAACTGCTCGTAAGCTCAAAAAATAAAAAAATCCTTCTAATAGCAATGGGCATGCAGTGGGTGTGGCGTCTCAACAAATCTGAACTAGAAGTGCTTTGCGACGAGTTCCAGTTGAAATGTGGCAAAAACGTAGAAGAAATTCGCAGCCAGCTTGCCGCATTTGTTGGCAGGGCTGACCATTCGCCGGACATTGAAAAGCGGTTGGCTCAACTAAAAGCACACTACGGGGCAGAAAACACTCTTAAACGGAAGGAAGACTTTACTGGGTACGCACAGCTATTAACTACAGCCGTGCTCAGTGAGGAACGCTTTTGCAAAACACGATTAAGTTTCTCCGACGAACAAAAAACGGCGCTGAGCTTGATAGAAGGGCGAGTGTTTGCCAAAGTACTTATGGAAGGCCACCTCATAGCAGCCGTGCTGGACACTGGATCCACCCGCACCATTATAAGCGAACGAGTTGCCCAAGAACTGTGCACTGAGCAGAACCGTAGAAATGTGCACATCCGTTTGGCTCTGCCGGATAAATCGTACACGATTGCGAAGCAGGCACTGATGGCCAATGTACAGCTGGGCTCACAGCAGATACAATTGCTCGTACTTGTGCTGCCATCTTGCAAACAAGAGAATGCCATTCTGGGCATGGACTTCATTTGCCGCAGCGATGCAAAGATCCAGTTGGGCGAAGTATCGCTAGAACTTAATTCAAACCAAGAAACCCTCAAAGCCAGCGATAGTCGTGCGAAAGAAAACAAGATGGCGGCAGCACCCATACCATTTGCCATGGAATCACCAGCTCGGTCGTCGTCTCATGTGGATGTTTGGGTTGTTGCGCCGCTGGAATGGCGCGTAAACACGCGCTTGCGCCGCCTACCAGCTGAGCTGCGGGACCGACTCGTGGCACGTCTGCAGCAACCCAAACGAAAGGATGTACGCTACGTAACCAGCGCCTGCGGACATAATTTCCGTGTGCACATTAACACCCAAAATCAGTTGAGTGTCCACCTAAGGGATGAGACTTTAAATTAGTTAAGTCTTTCACCAATTTTTAAATTGTGACAAAAAGAGGAGCGGAGAGTCCACCAAAGAGGAGCACCTGAAGGCCGAAGGAACTTTTTTTGTTTTTTAGATAATACTTAATATCCAATAATATTATTTGTAAGTTATACAATTTACATACACATACGGGGCACACATCATATGCCTAGAGAGAATGTTTGTCAACACTTAACCACATAACCAGCATCGGCTTTAGCTCTTAATTTATCTACAAGCTCTTGGCCAAAGACTCAATCTCGTCGAGGAAGTAAATCATATCCGACTCCTCCAGACACGAGTTCTGCAGCACCAGGCGGAAGAAGTTGGGCAGCTGGCGGAGCGGCTGATATGTGATCATCATGGAACCCTTCTTTATCATCATCTCCTTGACCTTGGGCGCCACCTTGTGCAACTTGTCGTAGAACTCTTGATTGCGCTCCATCTGCCGAAGACTGGACGGCACGTACCAGAAGCTGATGTTCGTACACTCGGGACTCTCCAGAACCAACTCGAAGCCGGCACGCTCGCGGACTTTGGCCGTGAAGAACTCGGCCATGCGAAAGACCTTCTCCACGTGTGCCTCCAGGCCCAGGCTGCCCTTGGCCTTCCACATGAACCAGAACTTGAAGACATCCGCCCTGCGTCCGCACTGGATGTGCTTGTCCCCAGTGTCGAAGGAGGTGTCGTAGAACTTGTCCTTCTGGAAGAGATACGCCGCATTGGTGGAGTGGCACTGACCAAGCACCAGCTGGTGGCGGGTCAGGAAGGTGGAGCACTGCTGCGAGGCGGCCAACAACTTGTGAGGATTCCACGTCACCGAATCAGCCCTGCAAAACGGGTGAACCAAACGTCAACCTCAACTGGTTCGTGCGAAGCATTCTTCGGGTGAAAAACTTACATTTCAATGCCATTCAACAGATGGCGATACTTTTTGGACATCAGCGCACCGCCTCCCCATGCAGCATCTACGTGCATCCACATGTTGTGCTTCCTGCACAGCTCTCCGATCCCTATCAAGTCATCGAAGGCGCCCAGCACCGTGGTGCCGGCCGTGGCCGAGACCATCAGTGGCTGCCAGCCATTGTCCAGGCAACGCTGAATTTGCTCCTCCAGATTGCTGAGTCGCATCTTGCCCACTTCATTGGTCGCTATCTTGATCACATGATCGCTGCCGAAGCCCATGAACATGGCCAATTTCTCTACCGAGTAGTGCGCATCCTCCGATGTGAATATAATCAAAGGTTTGGCGTTGAAAAGGCCATTTTTCTGTGTTAAAATTAAAAATAAATATATGTGGTGAAATTTCTGGATTTATAAAATACATTTCTTAAGTTTAAGACAGGGAAATTATGCCAGGAACTATTGAATATACATAAATACGTACTTATACTTTAAGGAGAATTTCTGAAGTAATTCTGTGAAAATAATTTGGGAAATCAAGAAAACTTTCAATATCTCTAAATGCAAGCAAGAAAAATCTCTTCATAATAATTCACTCATACTCGTAGTACCATAAAGACTTAAGAAGAATATTTTTTGTGTCCCTAAAGGTCTGAAAAAAAATCAAGGAAATGTATTTGAAAATCTCTAAATTATCTCTCAATCTCTATAATTCTTCGGTACTGCTCTTAGTGCCTTGAAGGCTTCACGATATTATTATTTTAATTTTTTTTGTATTCCTGTCTAAGTTCTGGGAACAAACACGTAAAATTTTGTTGCAAATCTCTAAATGATGTGGAAAGCAATATAATACAATATCTTGGAGTAAAATCTAGTGGTATGATGATTTTGTTACTTTTTTTACGGCATAAAAGATATTTTTAAACAATTTTAAACAATAAATAATTAAATTTACTCAGAGCATTGCCATTTTCTTGATCCATTTTTTGTGACCACTCTTCAAATGAAATTAGAAATACAAAAATCTAGAGGCTATATTGAAAACAATTGATGAAATGTTCCTCAGAAAAAGATAGGAAAATAAACTAACCATATTAAGAATGTAAGGATTGAGATTTTGTATAAGCAATTAATTCTTTGAATGCTTGCCATTTTGATGCGGCAACACTTTCGGTTAGGAAGTTAGCAAGTGAGCTGGCAGCACGCATTGTGACTAATATTTTGGGCCACCGCTGTACTGTAGTTGTTGCCATTAACATTAACACCGCCTCGCCATTAACGGGGAGCACTAGGCCAGAGCAGAGAAGTGTGTTTTTTGCTCGTGTTTCCGTGTTGCTTTGTATCGCGAGTCGAGGCGGGGATCGTGGGACAAATGTGACAGGCAATTGGAGGTGTAACTCACCTTGGACTCGGGCGCGTGTTTGTAGCGCGCACAGCTGATTGCATAACCGTTAGCTATCGAACCGCCAGGACAGAAGATGCCGTCGCCTTCGCCGCCATTCGGGAAGCCCACAATGCGACGCATTTCAGCCAAGACCTGCTCCTCCATCAGCGTGAACAGAGGCGCCACCTCGTACGTGTACACACTCGGGTTGAGGGCATCGGTGAGCCACTGGCCCACCAGGGCATACGGGTCCACGCCAGAGTACAGCTGATTGATGAAGTACGGATGTCCGGTCTTCACCGAGAATCGTATGGTTTCGCGGAGAAGCTCTCGCAGCTTGTCCTGCGACTCCCCCTTGTCGCGCAGCTGAAAGTCGAACAGCTGACGCAGCTCGGCGGGCTCGTGCCATTCCACGACTTTGCTGGATCGGTTGGTACCCTGGAAGACAGCCAGCTTAATAATCTCATCCACGCAGGCACGAATGAAGCCCTCGAACGGTGCTGCCGGATGGCTGGCCACAAAACCGGAGATGTCATCCGTGGTCTCGTTATTGTTATTGTTATTGTTATTGCTACAGCTGTTGTTGGTCAACATTTTGCGGGCAGTCTCGAACTCAACTGAGGATGCAGTGGGTGCGATGTCAATGGCTGCATGAGTATCATCCGATGACGACGTGGTCGCCGCGGATGTCAATGTTTTGTTAACGCTTGCCAAATCATCGACGCTGGCCGAGCCATTCGCACTGTAAGGCTTAAATATAGATTCCTTGAAGTGATGTGCGGGAAAAGTCTCACTGGCCAGCATTTTGTTGGCAATCTGTTCTATCTATCGATGTGCTTTTGGTTCCGACTCGTGTTGTTGCTCCGTTCCGCCTGCTGCTATTGCTGCTGCTGCTGCTGCTTGCACTTGACAATGATTCTGACTGCACACTGAATGAACTTGTGCTGTTGTTGCCGCTTTTATAAAAGCTCTCGAATTGCTTTTCCGACTGCGAGCCGAGCCGATCGCTACCTTCCCATAAAGACAATGCCAAACGATCTGCCACCACACACCAGCTGCGTGCTGCTTGCTGCATTCGGGTTTCGGTTGATTATTCCTGAGGGAATCAGATAATGTGTGGTCCCATTTGGAAGGGGGTTTTCCTGGCCTGCATCATTCAATCAACGGAATTGAAAATTCTCGGTAAAGATTGTATTTTGCGGAATTTTAAAATTCTGTCCTTAGAGATTGTAATTGTAAGTTTTGTTCACTAATTGATATGCTCATGTAACACAATTATGTTTTGCACAATGTACGAGTAATTGCATTAGATGATTATGAGTTTGCAGCCTCCTCCGCAACCTCCTCCTACATCACAATTCCCAGTGCACTTTATGCGGTTGCTGTTGCTGCCTTTGATTGCTGGGTTTCTCCTCTCATTAGCGGCCATTAGATTAATTAAATGCAAATTCATTGAATAATTCTTCAAGCAATTGCAGCTTGCATGGATCGTTGTGTAAATTGCACAGCTGAAACGTGATAGTACGAGTTTTGGAGAAAAGTTAAGGTACACGTGAAAATTGCTTGGTGTAGGT